GACCCAGGCTTCTTTCCTCATTACAGGAGTTCAGCTTTTAGGGATGTTCCCCCTTTTTGGTGGCCTGGAGTGGGGGTGGCGTTAATGGAGACTCACACAGGCCTGGAAAGCACTTCCAGGTGGCATTCAGTCCAACCTCCTGCCCCCATACCAGCCGACATGTCTACTCACCCAGCTAGACAGACGTCTCTATCTAGAGAGCTTCATTCTGAGACCAGCGAGAGTCAAATCTATTTGCAGTGTGTGTGACTCCCGGGCTGCATTGATCAGAGTCCCCAGTGTGTCAGGACTGGGGGTGCGGCCGGGAGAGAGCTAATCCGACGCTGGATTTGGACCATGTGTACTCATTCAGTTAATGCATCCAACTTTCATTCAACATCTACTCAGCCCGGGTCCCTAAGATAGCACAGTTGCCAAGTGAAAAGAGCAGTGGCAGAAATGAGCCCCCAACTGACTCCTGTACATCGTTCAACAAATTTCACCTTTCAGAAGGAGAAAGGTTTGAACCGAACAGTAACACTCCCTTCCCAGAGAAAAACGTTCATTCATCTTGAGGGCAAGCCTTCTTAATGACCCTCGGAACACTGGCTCTCAACCACAGGATGTCAGGAATTCACCTCCCAACAGCCCCTCACTCTGCTCCCGGGCACACTCAGCACAAATGTGCTACCTGATCTTTTGGCATGAAGGGGAGTCCTGAATTAAATGGTTCAAAGGCATTTTTCCTGCCTCACAATTTGGCCGTCTTTCCCTTTATGCAGTAAAATCTCCAATAGTTTGGAATTTATGATCCTTTGGACAGGGACTAGGCTGAAGTCTGCTTCTGGACTATTCTGCATAGACAGGATTTTCAAAGAAAATTAACAGTTTGCCTAAAGAACTGTAAACGGAATGCTTATTTTAAGAGGGCTGCCTTTCTAGCCCTTTATGAACACTCATGGATCCACAAACAATTGATATGCTAATTTAAAATGATTTTTTACATGTTCATTAAGTCCTCAACTACTATTTGTCGATATGATTATTACAGTTTGAGCTGGCCTCAAACACTAGGTTTTCTGCTTTGAGCCTAAACTTCTTGGGTACAAACTTTTCTGGACAAAGAAATTAAGAAAGAGAATTAATTAATGGCAGGCAAAAGGACTATACTTCTTTGGTGGGGACAAAAGAGGGGGTCTCTTACATTCCAAGTGTCTTAGTGATTCATGCTGGCTCTCTTCCAGCTGGTATAGGATGAGGTTTGACTATGGCAACCCTACATCCTGGTTTGCCTGGGATAGTCCCTGTTAGATCTTTCATCCTGAAATAACTACTCACAGCAACCCCTTTCACTGTTGAAATGAATGATGAATTACATAGTCACTCAGATTTGATGGAACTAGGGATTAAAATTGTGATTTTCAAGGAGTTAGAGCCTTCTCCAGACTGGCAGTACCTGGTCATCTCTATACAAATAAAAAAAATGCTCCATAAAGATGCTGTACCAATCGATTCTGAATCCAGATCATTCTTCACCATCCCCCCACCCCCAAACTGAAAGAATCAGATCAGAAAGCAGCTAACCTTCCCTCGGGGAAGGCAATTATGGGACCACTCTCACCCCACCTCCTATGTGTGAATTCCATCTCAATGTAGTTGTCTGTCTGGAGTTGAAATCCCACAATTTTTATTGTCAGCATTATTTGGGGGAGAAATGGATGGGCATGAAAAACACAATACCGGAAGGAATTGTTGATGTCTTTTGGCCATTATAAGCTCTGAGCTGTTTGTTTTAGAGGCAATGTCTACTAAACAGTCACTGTGGGCCACACACCGTGGGAAGTGCTTTACCTGATTCAATCCTCATAACTCACTGTCTGAGATGGCTACTCTTATTATTTCTATTTTCAAGCTGACGAAACAGGCTCATCAAGGTAAAGCCACTTGTCTAGGACACTCAGCTAAATGGTAGAGCCAGGACAGGAATACAGGTTTGTCTGAGACTCAAGTCTGAGCTCTTAACCACTATGATATACTGCCTCCCACCCTGCTATACTCTTCTGACATTTGAGTCAGACATCTGCTTGCAATTTGATACATTATAAAGCTATTGCCTCATCAAGTATGCCTCACAGAGGGGGAGAGAAGGGGGGGCTAGTGGAGGTTTTCTTTGAGTGCAGTTGGATGATGTATGCATATTGCTACGAAATCAACAAATTGAATGTAAGTTTCCATCCTGGCACTAAATTATCTTCAGAGATAGACTTAAAATATCCTAGGGAAGTTCATTCAGGGGGTAGCCCTCATCTATAAACAAATATTAAGTGTGTAACCAACAGGACAGGCTGGTGGTTCATCCGCCCCCTCCCCCATCTCCCTGCAGATCTGCTGACTGTGAGCTGGGCTTGACTCACGGAACTAAACAACATTTCTGATGAGACCAAGTCCGGAGATTGCCTCTAGAGGAAGCCACTGGGGTCCAGCTCATGCTATACCAGTGTCTCCATCTCTTTCCTTCCTAAGAACTCTGCTTTAGAAACATGGTACTTTCACCCTTAAGTAAGTATTGAACATGAAAAGGAGGTGGAAATTGACCATCACTGGATGTGGCTGGTGTGGATGAGAATGGGGATGATGTGGGTTTTATAGACAGTCTGTTAAAAGACAACTCAAACCCAGCCTTTCCTGAAGAGTTGAATACAAACGCTCCCTGCTCACTCTCCACCCCAAACCAGCAGTAACAGCTATAAAACTGGAATCTGTTTTACAGAGAAGCCACGCCTGTTACAGAAGTATTGAAGAGGATCCTTCCAGCATGACATAAATTAGGGGCTTATGGCTTGGACTTTCACCTCAGGAGTGGTTTCCAGGGGAAAGGAGACCCAGGACATTAAAAGACACTAAGAGTGAAGTGATACCTGGGTGGGGAGGGTTGGTTATCATAAGAGTCTCAGATGGATTAAATTAGGATTTGTATAATGCTACAGAAAGCACGAGGGTTGGGAGACTTTGTGGGCAATTCATATGATTGCGAATATGACCAAGAAAAGGGCAGGACAGTAACAGACTGACGGGCAAATGCTGAAGGTACCAAGCCAGGTGGACATTAGGCATTTTCTGAATTAAAATACCACCAGGAATCTGCTGTCCTCTCTTTGCACCCCTGAAATATATGGAAGACTCTGGACCAAATGCCACACTTCTGGTTTCCAATGAAATTCCCTTTGGTCTCTTCTACAAGGGCATATTCTTTGGCCAACACAGCACCTGCCTTGTCAACAGTAGGTGTACTTCAAAGGCGGAATGGATGGCAGAAACCCAGGAAGATAAAACTGCTGATGTCAAAACTCTCGACAGGGGCCAGCCCGGTGGCGCAAGTGGTTAAGTGCGCGCGCTCCGCTGCGGCAGCCCGTGGGTTCGCCGGTTCAGATCCCAGGCGAGCACCGATGCACCACTTGGCAAGCCATGCTGTGGCAGCGTCCCATATAAAGTGGAGGAAGATGGGCATGGATGTTAGCCCAGGGCCAGTCTTCCTCAGCAAAAAAGAGGAGGATTGGCAGATGTTAGCTCAGGGCTGATCTTCCTCACAATAAATAAATAAATAAATAACTCTCTACAAAGAACCTCCTTCCAAGCAGAGAAACATCAGAAACACTTTGATGGCATTTGGTGTTTTTTTTTCCCCTTCTCCAGCCTGTGTCAGAGAGTATCCCCACCCAACACTTGCAGATGCTGGCTGCTGCTGATGCTGTTCCCGTCATGTTTCTAGTCCATCCATTCCTAACATGGGACACCCATTATTCTCAAGACGTGTATGAGCGAAGTCCCTATCAGACAGGAAAAGTTCTCCAATCTAAGTTTGACTCTTTAGATATGATGCCCTGTCATCCACCCCACACCCACTGGAAAGTTCAGACTCAGTTGTTCCAGAACAGGCATCCTGTCTGAAGCACTTTCTCAGACATGTTTTCAATCTATTCCCTAATGTAGCCTGCCAGGATTAATACATCCTCCAAGTCATCTCCACTGGTCCACTTCTTTCTTTTTCTCCCACTGAACTACTCATCCAACACCAGCAAAAGATGAGTTTTCAGACTGCCTTGATTTTCCCTGACAGAGGGCACAGCCTTCTTCCTTTCATTCTCAAACTCCTCTAAATTGAATGATTTATGAAAAGAATTGGGTTTTCTCTGTTTTAGAATGCTTCTGTTTTCCCCAACCTCCTCTCTATCTCAGCCCACATCCTCTTCTCCTTCTTTCCGCCTTTCTTTCGTTTCTTTCCTTATTCTCCCCCCATCACACTCTTTCCACCACCATCTAAGGATCTGTTCTCATCCCTGAGTTCCAAACAATCAGGTCCTTTTTGAAAAACCAAATAAAACTCTTTCAAGACCATCTTCACGATCTTGGAAGGCTGCTCCCTGACTCTTGAGCTCAGAGTCCTGGTTTTGGTTGCTGGAGAGGACAGAATTCAGCAGCAGCAGCCAGCAAGGTGTGGAGGAGGGTGCTGTTTAGGGTGTACTTGAGGGAACAGCATATGGGCTTTTGTGAAAATGTTCAGAGCTTGCTAGTTTCTGAGCTGAGTATAGAAATGTGCCACTATCTCTGAATACTGCCTGAGCTGGTTCAAATCTCATCTTTTCTTCTTGTACAACACCCCCAAAATCACCACCTCAGATCCACCATTCGTTCTTCCCCCTGTCCTCTAAGCTCTGTGATACCAAGAAAAGTTTCTCAGTCAAGTTGTATCCCACCTACACGGCCCACCCTAAGAAAGCAAAACCTCTTGAATAGCAGCTGCCAGGTCAGCCGACCACTGAATGCTGCTCCTCCTAAAGACTCTTTCCAGCCTCCACCTCATATAAGCAATTAGTTCCCATGTTCCAGCGGGAGATACCGAGTAGTGACGGCAAAAGACAGGCGCCCTGGCCCAGCTGCCCGCATCCACCCCGCAGGGCTCCGGGGCACAGGCCAGAAAGGGGAACCATCAGGGTCTCCCCTCTTAAGAAGGAGGTCATTACCTTGGCAGGGGCTTGCGGGCCGTGATACTGGCGACAATGATGCTCTCGGGACGCGGAGTGGCCACAGCTTTAAAGGTTCCTCGCCAGAACTTCTCAAAGAGCTGCTTCTCGCCTTGCTGAACGCTCGCCATAGCCAACCCAAAGGGGGCCGGGGCGCTGTCCGAAGTGCTGAAACGTGGATTCCAACCCGGGGCACACCCGGCTCCGGGCTCTGTCCGTGTCAAACCCAGAGGGGTGGGGTGGGAGAGATCGGGGTTCCGGGCGGGGGATGGGGCGCCTCAGCCCGGGCAGGCAGGGGAGGAAGAAGGCTTGTCCGCCGGCTTTCTTCGCCTTCTGGGTTGGCTCTGCTCTGCGCTCTGAGCCTGCTGAGCCTCCGCGCCCCAGGAAGCGAAGGGAGGGCTGGCTCTCTCGGCAGCGCCGGGAGAGAAGAGGCGACGGGGTCGTCTGTGTGTGCGTGCGCGTGTGAGCTCAGGCGCGCCCGGGTTTTGTCTCTCGCACAATGTGACGTTGGAAGAGGAGGCTGGTCGCGCGAGCTGCACTTTCCTCCCCCTTCTCCGTCTCTCCTCCTCCCCGCCAACTCCCTCCTCCTCCGGCTCAGCCTCCTGCCGCCATCTGCATAACAAAAGCCCGCAGGTCTGGGAGGAGAAAGGGCGGGGCGTACGCCTGTCACCGGGGCCCCGTGGCGACGCAGTTGCAGCGCTGACCCCTCAGAGAAGCAATCCCGGCACCCCGAGCTGAACCAGGCAGGAGATCCTGCTTCCCAGCTCGCTCTCCTCCCCCACCGTCGCGGCCCTTCCCTCCACCCCTCCCTGCGTGCCCTCCGGGCCCGGCAGCCTCCCCTCCCAGCCCCTTCGCAAGTCTTGTAGCGGATCTTCTATTGAGGGGGGAGGTAAAACACTTAACCGATCCGCCCAAACCAACCTGCCCCCCCGCCCCCTGGGAGGGACCGCTTAGGCCAGCAAAAAGGATCCTCTGCATTCCTCTTTGCGCCTGGGCGCCGCGAGATCCCCACCACCCAGAAAGTGCCATTTGATGGACACTCCGTCACCAGTTCGGCTTCTCGCCATCTGCCGAGCCGGGCCCTCGCCCGCAGAGGGGCGCAGCGTTACATCTGTGCACGCGGCGCTCTAAGAGAGATTTCTTTTGTGCCTCACAGCCTGCCAGCCCAAGGTCCTCGCTGCCAAACCCATCCAAAGGAAAGAGTACCCCCCACCTCACCCCACCCCATCCACTCCTGGGGAATTTGGCTGCGGCCACTGTTCTTAACACAGCTTGTCTCGGGAGAGGAGTCCGTTTTGGACAAGAAAGTGCTTCACTGGAGGGATTTGAGGGGGATTTCTGAGGATTACAGGAGGATAGTTACTTTTTGGTCTCTCTTTCCCCTTTCTACCCCCTCCCAGTTCAACCCTAATCTCTGAAAGTGAAAGTTTAGAACTACAAATAAACCCTAGACGCAGGGGTTCTGGGCAGAATTCTTCTAGTTTCACCCCAGGGTTTTCATTAAGAAAAAGATTGTTGCGGGACCCCTCAGCCCATCTCTGCCTTGGAGCTCTTTAATCTCAGCAGCGTTTCTGCTCCCACTCCCCAGGCTGCAAATTCGTGGAAGGAGCCCTCACCAAGTCTTAGAGGCCTCCAAGCGCCTGGCACCGTGTCTCGGCCACAGCGGAAATAAACCCATGCCGTGGGGTCCAAGGTACCGGCGCGCCAATGTGAACTTGAGAAACTCTTTGAAAGGGACAGGAGGGGAATGAGAGAGAAAGGGGAGGAGGAAGACTGAAAGAACAAGATGGGGCAGGAGAAGGAAGTAAGAACCCTGGAGTAACCGAGTATAGGGTCCAGAAGCGCATATACGTTTGGATATGTCTACGAATTTGGGTATCTGTGTGCCCACTTATGCTAGTGCCTGAGAGCGCTGCTCGCTCTGCAGTGACCCCTTCTGGTTGACAGCAAGAGATGCATTTGCCGGCTTCTTAAAGCGGGTTGCTCCTGCCAGGAGGTGGGGTTAGTACTGGGGAGCTAGGAGGTGGAGGAAAGTGGAGACTAGACTCCGTCTGTCCCCTTCCCTCCCTCCCGCTGAAAACCCAACACTCCGCTATCACTCTCAGGCCCGATTTCCCATCCTGAAGTTAATGTGGTTTTAAATGCCATTGAGAGCTGGCTCCTTAAGTAACCTGGGATATTAAAACCACGCTTAGTTATGACATTTGGGGTCTGACCTGAGTCACCTGCAGCAGAGAGGCAGTTGGGATCCTACCCAACAAGATCAATCAACATCTCCCGGCCTGTTCCTGTCCTAAGTTCCTAGAATGTTGATCAAGTTTCTATTTGCATGGCATTGTCTCTTTCAATCCCAGCACAGTAGCCAGCAGCCAGGTGAGGTGGGAGGGGAAGCTGCTCTTATTCCTTTTTAAAGGTGAGGAGGTTGAGGTGTAGGATGGTCAAGTGACTTTACCCAAGGTGATCAGTAGGGAACAAAGAAGTCTGTGAAAAATACAGTTTCTGTTTTAGCTTGGAGGATGGGGGTCCTTGGGACACCAGGCATTCCAGGGTGGGACTGTGTAAAAACTAAAACTGCCACTTTTTAGCTGGATGACCTTGGGCTAGTTACTAACCTCTGCCTCAGTTTCACCATCTGCAAAATGGAGTTATTAGTGCACATTTCATATGGTCGTTGTGAGGACTAAATGGAATATTACTTGTAAAGGACTTAGCACATTATCTGGTTCATAGCGAATGCCCATTAAATGGTAGCTATTATTGCAGACGCTGTTAGAATCATGATCTGTCACTATCTTAAGTCAGGCCATATTTCATTTAATAATCATTCATTGATGCCTAAACTTGGTCAGACGGGGTCCTGGGCATGGAGGGTCCAATGATAAACCAGATGTGGTTCCTTCCCTGAAGGAGTACACAGTCTAATTCACCTTCTGTGTCACCATTGCCTAAAATTTGTCCCCCTTTCCACCTTATCAAGTCTGGAATGCCAATTCCAACCAATTAGTGGTGGCTCTCTAAAGAATGTGTGTTGAGAAGTATTCTGGGGTCTTGTCCCAGAAAGAGTGCTGTGATGGACTAGTGATGTCTGCCACCAGCATAGTACAGAGCTAGGCAGCAATTGTGCCACATGTGACTTAGACTTTAGGTCTGGCTTCTCTACTATGACCCAAACTCCAGTTCTTCCATTGGTTTATCAAAATATAACCATCTTGTTCTCATTCCCTCAGGGTATTGCTCTCTGTTTTCCCAGGTGCAAGAGACCTATCAATATGCTGCTTAGTGAATACAAATAGGTGGCACAATTGCTGCTTATCTTCTGTGCTATACCAGTGGCAGACATCACTAGTCCATCACAGCACTCCTTCTGGGACATGACCTCAGAATCCTTCTCAACACATTCTTTAGATAGCTACCACTAATTTGTTGGAGTTGGCATTCTAAATAAAATCAATTTGCCCTCCACGTCTAGAGGGTGCTTCTTTATCTGATTGATATTGTTCTCTCGTTAAAAAAGGGGAGACCAGGGAGAAGTGATTCTAGGATTTGCAAATCCAGGCACTATAGAGTAGGAGCTAAAGAGATTCTTATGCATCCTTCCCCTTAATGATCCAACGAGGCAGCACTTCCAGCTCAGAGAAATAGCTACCGCTCCTCCTGAGGCAGTTCAAATCCCAGCTCACTGATGTTGCTGTGTTGCCTTGGGGAAACTCCTTACTCTCTCTGTGCCCACAACTTCTCTGAGCATAATATGGCTAATCATTATCCACCAGCATCAAGGGATATCAGGATGCTTGGCAGTCTGTACCCATTTCCAAAAGTCCAGCGAACAGTGAATGATTCAGATAATTACTGAGATAATGGGAAATATGATAATGAGACCAGTTCATCTGTCTTTGTGCCTTTCAACAGGATCACGCTAGACTATTCAAATTACAAGATCCTGTATTTCTTCATATAGATTTTGGGGAGAAAACAATGATGGCACTACTCAGGGTTTACTAATCTTCACTTCTTGCAAGTTCTACCTTGTGTCTAATCTGAATACCACCTTTGCTGTTTATTGTCCATTTCTCTTCTAGAATATAGATACAAACTGACTCCAGTGTCCCTGGACAAACATAGATAAACGAGGAATCCTCCTTCCCTGGTTGTGTAGTTCCCAAGATTCTACAAGACAAATACATTCATTGCTGTCTCAGATAATAATAATAGCTTCACTTATCAAGTATATGTTATGATGTTCTATGTTCCAGTCACCCCTTGTGCTAAACCCTTGATAAACATTATTGCATTTAATCCTTGCAACAACTCCATGAGAAAGGAACTACCATTGTCTGAATTTTGCAGATTTGGAAACTGAGTGCTAAGAGGATTCAGTATGTGTAATGTGTATTGGAAAAGAGTTGAGTACACTCAAGGAAGAGGCTGAAGACCGGAGAATGTAGATAGTGATGGAAGAATGGAGAAATGGAGGAGTTAGTGATGAAAGAATGTGTTCTATGCAAGGAAATGAGAGAACTGCCATTATTCCTCCCAGTTTTAAAAGCCAATGATATTATATCACTATTTCTCAAAGTGAGGATCCTTGGAACCCTGGCAGTACTCCTGCAGAAGGTTTTAGGTGGTACCCAGGCAGACGGAGTATTAAATAACATTGGAGCACATGGTTACATATGGTGAGAAAGTATTCCTTTCAGCAATTGTCTTCCTAGCCATTAGGTTGCCTCCCGAAGTAAATCTCTATGCCTTGATTTTCTTGAAATGTCTTGAACACATTTCTTAGCACTTTCTTTTCAACAATGAGAGAGTGACTTCAGAATCAGAGGCTCGGAGAACCAGAATTTAATAACATTGCTTTGCTTTCATTGAATTTATTTTTATAGTTATCTTCCATTATTGGCACGTAATACTGGTTTTGCATTTCTAAAATGTCCTCTTTAAGTAAATTTGTTAAGTAAAGAGGTGTGTCATTTTTTATTATAGAAAATTTCAAACATATACAAAAGTAAAGAGACTAGCACAATGAGCCCTTGTGTACCCACTTCCAATTTCAACAATGATCAGTACATAGTTGATTTTTTAATCTTACTCTGATCCACTTTCCACACTCCTAAATTATTTTGAAGCAACTCTAGGACATTGTATTATTACAGTTGTAAATACTGCAGTATGTATTTATAAAAGATAGGAACTGCTTTTTTTTTAGCATAACTGCAATATCATTATCACACTAGACAAAATTAACAATAATTCCTTAATAACATCAAATATCTGGTCAATGTCCACTTTTCCCCAATTGTCTTTTAAGTGTTTATTTATTGTTTGTTGGTTTGTTTGTTTGAATTGGGATTCAAATGAGGCTCATTCACTGTGGTTGATTGATACATCTCCTTAAGTATCCTTTAATCTTTAAGTACCCCCTCCCCCACACACACATTTCATCTCTCTTTCTTTATTTTTGATAAGAAACTTGGTTGTTTGTCTAATAGAGTTTCCCATAATCTGTGTTTTCCTGATTGCATAC